TGTTTTATTTTGTTACACTTACTGATGTTCAACTAAAGACATGGAAACGTACATTTCGTCCCTCAGAAAAAAATGCACGCATGCTCAGCTCATCAACTCATCAGTTCTCAGTATGTCGAACGTGTCCGAAAGAAACAGTTCTCGGTTCTGTACTGGTTATCCGACCGCTGTACCTGTATGTTCGGTAGTACACGCATGCGCAGTATCAGCTGCTCGTGCTCATCACTTCTCTCGGCACCAATATATGTCTCCGTTCAGTGAAGTTTTTGAGTTACTGAATAAAATGTACTAATGGATATTGGTTTATTTCGATTCGGACCCAGATAGCAAACTGACATTGAATCAACGTGGAAATATGACATCTAAACAATGTTGATCTGACATTGTTTTGCTCATCGAATTAACGTTGAACCAACGTCAGACGCGTCATTCTTTCAAAACTAACGGAAAATCAACTTGAAATCAACGCGTTGTTTCAACGTTATGAAAGCAAACCAATTTTCGATTTTCATTTAGCTTTGAAGAATGCCGCGTCTGACGTTGGTTCAACGTTAATTCGATGAGCAAATCAACGTTGTTTCAATGTCATGAGAGACGTCGTTTCCACGTTGATTCAATGTCAGTTTGCTGTCTGGGGAGGGACTGTCAGGCATGTCTGAAAGTGAGTAACTTTAGTAACTTGTGGTTACGACGCAAGACGCGAACTGTTTCGAACGATTCAGTCCGATTTAGTGTACTGGTTCGACCGGTTCACTAAAAAGAACCGGTTCAAAAGAACGATTTGTTCACGAACCGGCCATCACTATCAGACATAATAACCATTTGATCTGAATCACTGAACTCATTTAAAGCCTACTCTCTGATTTCAAAGTATATTGATCATAACAGCATCACTGTGATTTTATAACATTAGATCCAGAATTTTCAAATTAAACCAAATGATATCTTAAATGTTGTTCCGATAAATAAAAGTCTTTCTTTTAGGTGCACACAGACATCAAGATTCAGTGTATGAATCTCAACAATGGTTACAAACAGAATATTCAAATAGGAAAAGGAAATTACTAAGACAATTCAGATCATAATTTATTCATACCGCAATGCATGATGGGAGCCATTAATGAGTTTTGATTAGTGGCACCCAGAATGAACTGCAACATGCTGTATAATTGTCACCATTGTTGAGAATCACAGGCTGATTCTTGATGTCTGTGTGTGCCCATAAAGTATTTAGCATAGAACAACATATAAGAAATCTTTTGGATAATATTTACATTTTTGAAAATGTTATACTGTGTAATCAAAAGGTTAAACTGTACAAATGAGTTTTGTGACAAATGATGATTGTCAAAACATAACCAACCTCAGCGCATCAGCTTTCCTTGTTGTTCATCTGGCTGTTATAACTCATGTACAGCAGCCAAACAACATCTAAAGTTAATGATTTAAGAGTCAAGAGCCCAACTAAAGCAGACACTGATCTCCATAATGGTGACTTAAAAAATGTGCCATTCTCCTTCAGTGATTCTGCTAGTTAACATCTGGTGTTTTCAATAATGCTCAATCATCACTCAATTATTCACTTAATTATCTCATTAACTTTAACACTCTTAAGTCTGTATCCAAATAAACTCCCAGTAAAGTTCATTTAACACTGGAGTTTTTGCTGTGGGTGGAATAAAAATGTGGCAGGACTTTTACTTTCTGACCCCTGGACTTTCCACCCAAAACTCGGGTCTTAGGAGGTTAATGTACTCATAAGCTGCATCCCACTTCCAAGGCTGCACACTTCGAAGGCAGATTGCGTCAATGTTGCGCGACAAAGGCTCCTTCAAATGCAGCCTCCAAATGGGTCCTTCGTTTCCCATGAAGTGAAGGATACAGCAGATGGATTCTGGTGGAGTACTGGTACTGGTGGAGCTGGATAATAAGTTGTGTGGTCAACCCCTTCCTCCAGTAATTGTTCCAGTTACCGCAGACATCTCGAGTGACGACTCCATCTGTTACTGTTGGGTGTCCACCACGGATCCATAGTGGGATATGAGTGCCACATCTGTACTGAGCAACACACGTGTCTGGGATATGAGCGCTAGTGCTGTTAATGAAGAGACGATACCAGCCGCTCCAGGAGACAGACGCGTCACACATGGAGCCATATCCAGTACTGATGGATCTCCATGTATCGTTCAGCACAGTGTAGTTGTTGCAGGGGTCTGACAGATTAGATGTAGTGAAAATATTTTAAAGGTCCCCTGACATGAAATTTTCATTTTCTGAAGTTTTTTAACATTAATATGAGTTCCCCTAGACTGCATTTGGTCCCCTGGTGTCTAGAATTTTCAATTGGATCCTCCCTCCCTCGGCTGCACCCAGGACTGTCCACCTTGGTCTGACATTTCTCTGTCTGCACCAGTAACTTCCAACCCTTCCGCTGCTACCTGCCCTGAAACTTCCCCCAAAGAGATTGCCTCCTCATTAGTCTTCAGGCATCAGGAGCCACCTTCCGGAGGGGGTAGTAATGTCATGTTTTGCCTGTTCTTGTTTCGTTTTTAAGGCCTTTTAGCATGTTCCTCTTTTGTTTCATGTCTCTTCATCACTAATTTGTCATGGCTATTCATTGTTTCATTAATTAAAACATGAATAAAAGTGTTTGACTCACCTTGGCAGATGACTCCAGCATCTTCAATGTGCCCACAGTCGTGTGACCCCCATGCATTTGATGAACAGTTTGCCAGTGTAGATTCATTCCCACGGCACTGGACATCATCCAACCATATTAGTCCAGAACCTTGTCCAAAATAAGCAGAAGTCTTTGCCTCTAGAACACTCCCACAGCCCAGTTCTCTACACACCACTGCTGCGTCTGCAGTATCCCACTGATCATCACACACTGTTCCCCATATTCCATTGTGGAGAACCTCCACTCTTCCAGAACAGAGGTTAGGTCCATTCACCAACTTGACAGCTATTAACCACAAAGCAATATAAAGAGAGAACAACAGGTCATTAAGTTTTTCGTTTGTTAATTTTTGTTTGTTTTTATCTTTGATGAGATAACAAACAAAGTGGTAATAATAGTGGAGTTCACTCCTCCTCAGCATCTTTACCTTTGACTCCGGGCTGTGAGGCAGTCGTGTGCATTGTCACTGTTGAAGCTGACAAAATGAACAAACACACAAATACACAACAAAGTTATGTTTAGATGAAGATGTTGACATGTCAGATTGATTGCAGTGCTTCATGTTTTTCAGTTCAAATGAACTTTTTAGGCTATTTTACAAGTTTTGTGAAAAGCAGATCTGGTTCTAATGCAAAGTTGTATAATTCCTGTCTGTGGTGCTGCACTAGTTTGTACCTGGCCTATTACAGAAAAAGACAAATGACCAAAGTCTATTACAGTTCCAGAACAGATTTCTTCAAATGCATGGGCTTCCCCACACTGAGAGTGATATTCAAATGGATGGTAAACAAAAATATTTTTTTTTTTATTCTCTAAACCATTCACCTTCAACATGCTAAGAAAGTCGACTGCAAAAATTCCAAGCATAAAGTGTGTGGAACAAAACTCAATCTCTGACATTGAGACCAGGCCAATTAATTTGGACTATGTCACCAACTGGGCAAAAAAGTTCCAAAGTTCTAAAATAAGCTTAATATACTCATAAGCTTGTACTCATAAGCTGCGTCCCACTTCCGAGGCTGCACACTTCGAAGGCCGATTACGCAATCCACTGTTGCGCGACAAAGGCTCCTTAACCCTCTGAGACCTAAGGGTATTTTTACAATAAATTTTCCGTCTGGTGTCATTTACTAAAAAAGCTTGTAAAATATCAACCCTTTGGTGCACAGACAATTGACACACCTCTTTTTTTTCAGGACAAATTGAACTTTCAGCATATTTGTGTTACATTGATGTCACCTGAATGTAAAATAAGTTATGGGACCATAAAGACAAATGAAAAAATAAATCGGAAATGGAATCACTCAATTATTTATTGAAATCACACACAAATAAATAAAAGCTAAGCAATTTTCCTCTGGAAAATAGTTTGTTCATGTCTTTGGAGTCCTGGAGCACAGGAATAAACATTATAACTTGTACAGAACAAAAACTATTGACATTTTTCCAAAAGAAGTCCAGGCGTTTGGGGCCTCATGAAATTCACTGGTGCCAAGCCTCAAAACAGTTCCTATCAGCAATCACACAGAGGGCCACATCACAGGTTTTGCATTTCTATTTTATTTATTCTTTTATTTATTATGTTCTTTTTATTCTTTTATAATACATTTATACTACTATAATACTTTTTTACAGTAAATAAATAAATGGCACTTCAGCTGGGTCTATCCTGGTAATCTAGTTTCTCATCTGTCAAAAAGCTCTGTTCTCCTGAAAATCCATCATCCTGCAATGCAACAAAATAGACCAGCGCTTTATTTACGTCCATTTCGCTGTGTTTCTCTGTGAATCGCGCGTCTCCGTGAGTCTCTCTATCTCTCTACACTATATCAGCGCTTGGTTCATGCGTAATGACGCACACCAATGTTTACAACGGATCAGCCTGTAATTGGTCAAAAACCATCACGTGAAAACATCACGTGATATCCAGGATGTCCGCTAGCATTGAGCTAGCGGCAAAAATGACCGAATATTTATAAATTATGGGCTTCAAGATTATCAAAGTTTGACATAAAGCGTTTGGATTTATTGCTGAAAACCTCTGAAAGGAAGCACAAGTTCCAGGCTGGATAGAAAACCTTCTGTAAAGGCTAGAAAGACCCGAAAGACACCCCCGTGATGGCTAGCTCGTTAGCTTTCTGCTGGAAAAAACGGTAAGAAAATCGATAAATCTGTCATCGAGTTATGTAAACATTTATCGGAGGTGACGTGTGGCATCGTCGACGACGCCGTCGGGCTCAGGGGGTTAAAATGCGGCCTTCAAATGGGTCCTTCGTTTCCCATGAAGTGAAGTATACAGCAGATGGATTCTGGTGGAGTACTGGTACTGGTGGAGCTGGATAATGAGTTGTGTGGTCAACCCCTTCCTCCAGTATTTGAATTCATTTTGGAGAGAACGATTTGCTGATCACTTCTTGTGCTCAGTTCCCTCCTCCTCCAATGGTTCCATCCGGCATCAAGGTCCCTTAATTTCCATTGGGTCTGCCCTCGACCTAAGTCTTCCTCTTCTCCTTTGGTCTCCTGTCCGTCGGTCCAGTCCGGTTCCAACCCACCTTCATCACAGATGGTACTTTCCAACTTCAAGTCTCCTTCATCGCCACTGGTCCTAACCAGATCAAATATTTTGTTGCCACTAATGATATGCCCACCTAGCCTCCCTCTCCCACCTCCTCTGCCCAAGCAAGTCAGTCCTTTGGCCCCACCTTTGCTGGCTCAGTCCCTCAGCCTCCACTATTTGCTCTACCCTGCTCAGACCAGCCTTGGGAATCAGACTCGCCAGCTCAGCCTGGGGGTGTCTATTCCAGTGCTCAACCTCAGACCTCCAGGACTGAAGCTCCACCTAAGCTTGTCGAGCAGTCGACTCCACGAGCTTTGGCTATTTTTCTCTTCTCTGCATCTCAGACGCGCTGATCTAGAATCTTCCCTATATGACATCATACGAGGGAAAGGTAACTTCCCTTTCTCTGCTTTGCCTGCCCAGAGAATTTGGACCGACCATGAGAAAACAAGCTAGGAACAGAAAGTATGAACACACAGGCACGATTTAAGTTTTTCCTAGAGAAATAGCTTTGAGATTTGAGTTTTTTCCTCGAGAAAAACTCAGTGTTCGGATGTACAAATGAACACAAAAGTATGTTTTTGTTCCTTCATCCGAGCCTCTGATGAAACAATGGGTTAATTTTATTTTCTCTGGAAATGTGCCGACTCAACTCCCAAAGTTTTGTATGGTCCAAACGGGCAGGAGACAGGTACACAGCAAAAACTCTAGTGTTAAATTAACTCTCCTGGGAGTTTATTTGGCTCCAGACTCAAGAGTGTTAAAGTGTTAAAATATGAGTGTTAAATTAACACTCCAGAGTGTTAAAGTTAATGAGCTAATTAAGTGATTAATTGAATGACAATTGACCATCATTGAAGACACCTGATGTTAACAAGCAGAATCACTGAAGAAGAAAAATCTCATTTTCGAAGTCACCATAATGGTGATCATTATTTGCTTCAGTAGGGCTCTTGACCCATAAACTATTAACACTATATTTAGTTTGGCTGTTGTAACTGAGTTACAACTGTTAGATGAACTTAGAGAAAAGGTGATTAGGTGGTGTTGATTACGGTTTGACATAACCCACTGAGCAAAATTATGTCCAAAAAACGTTTTTCAACGTCTTTGTCACAAAGGTGGGACTTTGAAAAGACGTCCACTGAGGGGCCGGAATGAAAGTTTTTATGACGTTTCTTTTGACGTGTTCTGGACATCTGAAAAAGACGTTAATGGATCCTTCGTTCAAGGTTAAAAACTAGTTCAAATGTGGCCATTTTCAACATTATTTATGGTCTCATTTAGACAATTTATACAGTTTCTTGACCAAATAAACACTCTCAGGATGCATTAAATTAAAACTCATGTTTCTTTCAATGTAATTTCCTGCAGAGGGAAAATGTTCAAAAGCATTGCATCCACAACAAATATATATTTCTATTTATTGAATATATATATTTTTGTAACTTCTCAGTAATGGTTTCATGTAGTTTAAGTGTTTAACGTCATTAACGAGAATGGCATATTTAATCTGAATGTTTGAGTAAAACAGCAGACACAGTTTTCGGTAATAGTGGCCCACAGCTGATCAGCAAAAGTATTTCAGTAAGACAGTGATAACATGAGTTATTTCTACCCGATTTAAATTCTAATTTTGTTGTTGTGACCTAATTCAATCAGATTTCTGTAACATAAAACAATGCTGATTGAACTTAATTGAGTTACATTGATCCTATACACAACTTCCACTAAAGCTCAGGATGGCCAGATTGGACACGTGCGCACTACGACTGCACCAGACCTATAGAGGGCAGTATAGTCGTGACTCGCGTCAGCTACAGGACGTCTGCTCTGAAGAACACAGAAGAAGAAAGGGTGTGTGTTTGGCTGCTTCTTGCTGATCGGTCAATTTTGCCTCATTAAGAAATAG